CAAGTATGCTGATTTGACTTTATCGTCCCGTACTCAATGAATATGCTGACCGCGTGTGACTTACTGCTCCTGAACAGCTCCTATCGCCAGATGGTGGAGGTCACATGGGGGTTCTTCATGGCTGCAAATAACAAGTGCACATGAATCTCCGATTTGCAGTTCTGTCTCTTAAAAGGCTTCATTACCTCAACAGAATTTATTAGTATGGGCGGCATCATTGCAACAAAGTCTGCCCGGGGTCCCGGGTTTGCAAGAGACCCTGTCGACAGACCATTCATTTCAACAGCAATCTTCCTATAGGATTACATGTGCATTGAACACGCTTCATGTATGTTATTTAACTGCCCTATGTAGACATCTAAAGGCCCTGAGACTGGTGCTGGGTGCCGCCATCTTGGATTTGATGTCAGCAGACTCAGAGCTGCCAATCAAGTGATGTCCTACAGCAGTGGTCGTCAAACTGCGGCCCTCCGGCTGTGGTGCAACTACAAATTCCATTAGGCGTTGCAAGGCTCAAAGAAGTCACCTGAGCCGCCTGAGTGCCCCCTAAACTGACACATTTCACCGTCTATTGGGCTTAGCCGGAGAAGCTCTACCACCAAGTCTAGACTCTACGACATAGCTATCCAGACTCCGGCTCACCAGCTGTGGTGGAACTTCAAGTCACATAAGGTCTATAGCTAATTAAAACCTTCTTTTTTTTTTGTTTTAGATAGAATGGGGAAGGTTTAGACCCCCCCCATCAGGTTTCAATGCTATGGGCACTCTCTTCACTTACAATAGGAAGTGATAGTGAATCTTGCCCCATTCATTCCTATAGAGTGGGCCATACTCACATGGGTGGTTGGGTCTGCCAAAAGTACAGCCCCGCCTCTATGAAATATATTGGGCAAGTGGCCCGGACAAAACATTTTACAGCAGAAGGCTGTGAGGTAGACATGTAAGCTGCGGAAACATTTGGTTCAGTTCGGATATATATTTCGGATTTTGGGAATTTGGATCCAAAATTCAGTGTAGTTTTGGGTTTCGGATTCGGATGAAAACCGAATTTCGTTAGTTTCGGATGAGTTTACGAATATTTATTGGGAGTAAAACAGAAAGCCATATGCAGATATTAATACTAAAGCTGAATCTCCTAAACCCAAATGCCATTCAGGAGCTCCCAAGTGCAATTCGGAAATTCAGAACCCCAATGCTATTCGGGTCTGGGTGCTATATACATATATTACTAAAGCTGAGGCTCCCAGACCCCAATGGCATTGGGGTTCTGAATTTCCGAATTGCATTCGAGGGCTCCCAGGTGCCATTCGGGTGTGGGAGCCTCAGCTTTAGTATTATATGTATATAGTGTGTATGGCTCCTATGTTGCCGTAACGAAAATTTGTGTTCAGACCCATTCGGATGCATTAAACCGAAAAACAGATCTGATTGGCCAGGAAAGCCACATGTCCGATTCGGTTTCGTTTTTGAACAAAATTCGGACGGGATCCGAAATTCGGAAACCGAAATTCGGATTCGGACACATTCGGATGCATTGGGATTTGGATCCGAATGTACGATTATCTGAAAATGTGTCCGAATTTTGACTGCGAACGAATCGCAACGTTTCTACTGTAAGGTGCTTTCTCACTTCCTGTCTGGTGAAACCATTGTCAGCCTTAACGATAGGGGGAATCTTTCTAAAAGAGCATCAGATAGCGACAATACATGGCAGGGGTTCTATCCAGTGGCGTCACAAGGGGGTGCGGCCCGCACCCGGGTGACACCAAAATGACTTACAGTCATTTTGGTGTCACCCCCTCTGAAAAGTCGGGCGCTCGGTCATGGACCGAACGCCTGACAGTATCAGGAGAGAGGAGGGGACCCGGCGGCATACCTTATCCCGCGGGGTGCCTGTCTCCTCCTCTCTCTGCCGGCGTCCATCACCAAGATGGCTGCCGGCAGGTATCGGAAGACTGCCGCGCGTGCGCGATGACGTCATCAGGGTCCGGGTGTCACCCAGCCTCGGGACGCCCCTGGCTCTATCCCTTTCCTAACTCCAACAGTAAAAAGGACGTTTTTGGCTGGACGTACACTTTAAAAATGACCTTTGTTTTTGTAAAACTACATGTCTAAGACTGCCCTGTCCGCGGGGGTGACAACGCTGCTGTGCAGTTTCACTGCAGCATTGTCACCCTGCGGAAGAATAATGGTTCCATTGGCAGGATCAATGGGCAATCAAACTATGTTATGGGGGGGGGAGGGGGACTCAGGAAACCAAAAACTGTTGTGTAGCCTAAATGTAATTTTTTATGTTGCCTATAGCCCCCATTTACATAGACATGCTATAATATTATGGGTAGTCCTGCCTATGCTTATTACTCCCCATGGCGTACCAATATAATTGTGCTTTTCTCTTCTTAAGGTTGTACATCGAACTCACTACCAGGGTATGAAATGCTTGTTTCGAATCTGCTTTTTTCCTAAAGACCCGGCCGACATTCTGCATTCGGATCCTGCTGCGTTTGAGTATCTGTACATTCAGGTAACGTGAAATAATATATGCTCAGGTATGATCGTGCTGTCCACTTCCCCCTCCAACAATGTACCCAGCAGTGTTAAATGCCCACTTAGTCCCACACTGCCTTGCCTGGCGCTGCACGGTCTTTCAATGTGCCAACTGGGCTGTGCATCCACTGACTGGCAGAAGGGGGATGGGAGAAGGGATCGCCCATTCGTGTATAGTACCTGGAAGGTGATGCATTCTTATAGCAATCATTTAAAACAAATAATATTATATATGCTAATACAGTTATGCATCAAATAATGTTCCTTTATATAATCATGCCCAAAAAAGGAGATATTACAGTAAAAAGAAAGAACGCAGAACGTTTCATTCCTGTTACATTGCCTCAGTATAGTCTTCTCTTGGTTTTTCAACCGGGAACAAACTGAAATTCCAGAGACCACCTGTACATGTCAAAGCTGAACTCCGTCCTCCCCTTCAGTCTTCTATCTGACCTCCGTCCTTCCATTCAGTCTTCTATCTGACCTCCGTCCTTCCCTTCAGTCTCCTATCTGACCTCCGTCCTCCCCTTCAGTCTTCTATCTGACCTTCGTCCTTCCCTACAGTCTTCTCTCTGAGCTCCGTCCTTCCCTACAGTCTTCTCTCTGAGCTCCGTCCTCCCCTTCAGTCTCCTATCTGACATCCGTCCTTTTCTTCAGTCTTCTATCTGACCTCCGTCCTCCCCTTCAGTCTCCTATCTGACATCCGTCCTTCTCTTCAGTCTTCTATCTGACCTCCGTCCTTCCCTTCAGTCTTCTATCTGACCTCCGTCCTTCCCTTCAGTCTTATATCTGACCTCCGTCCTTCCCTTCAGTCTTGTATCTGACCTCCGTCCTTCCCTTCAGTCTCATATCTGACCTCCGTCCTTCTCTTCAGTCTTCTATCTGCCCTCCGTCCTTCCCTTCAGTCTTCTATCTGACCTCCGTCCTTCCCTTCAGTCTTATATCTGACCTCCGTCCTTCCCTTCAGTCTTGTATCTGACCTCCGTCCTTCCCTTCAGTCTTCTATCTGACCTCCGTCCTTCCCTCCAGTCTTGCACAGTTGTGCCGGCTCCTCTCCCGGACTGAAACTGCTTCCTCTGATTTCACTGCTTCTCACACTGCCGCAGGTCAGATAGAGCCCGCCTAATTTCCTGGCTGGAGGACGCCCAGCATCTTCTAGCCTTTTCCTCTCCAGTCTGACTGTCCATGGCCCCGCCCCTTTCATTCATTAGATTTCAGTTCTTTCGATCCTGGAGGCTCAGCGTCACATGATTACCTAGGGTGCTCTGCATGCAGCCTGCATCCTCCAGACTGACACCCGCCCATCAAGGCATATTGATATTTGCATAACTCCTCCCAAAGGCCAACCCGCTGCTTTCATTAGAGCTGGGTGCTGTGATGTTTTTCGGGAAGCTTTTTTTTTAACGTTAATTCTTATGTTTTCTCAGAGCCGTAATGACGTGATAAGAGATAGGCTGGGGTCAGAACTGAAGCCAGAACTGCTCCTGGGCCTGTGCGCTCTGCATATATACATCAGTGTCAGCTCCTCTCATCCAGGTCAGAAGATTTCCCTACGAGGAGTCGAGTAAGGACAATCTCATTATACAGTTCTTCCACTGTACTCACTGTCACACCTCCAACCGAATAAATTAAGTATTTGAGTTCAAGCTTGGTTCCTTAAAGAGACCCTGTCACCATGCAATGCCTGTTGATATGAACATCTCAAGTTACATAACTCATGTAAGCTTATGGTAGGCGGCAAATCTGCCCCTCTAATCACTTCTGCCACTTCCGATAGTATTGGAGGAGGAAGTACCAGAGGAAGCATCAGAGGTTTTGCCAGTGGCGGAACTACCAGGGTCGCAGAGGTCGCGGCCACGACCGGGCCCTGGAGTTCCGCCACTTGGAGGGGGCCCAGGACAGGAGGAAGGGGCCCCTGGTGACCGCTGATTACCAGTCACGGGACCTCTTCCTCCTGTCCTGGGCCCCACATGCTTCATGCTGCTCCCCTCACCTTCATGGATTCTTGCATCGAGGGCCCTGAGGTTACTAGTTACGCCACTGGGTTTTGCCCCATGTGATCTGCATTGACGGTGCCTGCAGGTCATGTGAGGCTTCCCCGATCCCCTGGGAGGACCCTGGCTGCCATCAGGGCCAGGGAGAAGGGGGAAGCAGCGGTGTCACCACAGGGTCACTTGGACGCATTGTAAACCTTCTAAAAGAAGAGGCCTTACACTTGGGCCCATGTGTTGAAACTCCGCCTCTCTGTTTCTCCCCGGCCGCCATAGGTATTTGACCCTTCGAGTAGGTTCAATACTTGCTACCCCTGCTGCCCATTCTGGTTCCTCCCACCAGCTCATACATCCTATAGTAACATATGAGCTGGTAAGAGGAACCACAGTGTGTGGTGGGGAAGTCAGTATTCATGGTGATGTCCAAGGTTGACCCGGGTGATAAGGGGGGTATTGTTGATCAAGCTGGTTGACCCGGGTGATAAGAGGGGGGGAATTGGTGATGTCCAAGGTTGACCCGAGTGATAAGGGGGGTATTGTTGATTAAGCTGGTTGACCCGGGTGATAAGAGGGGGGGCGTTGGTGATGTCCAAGGTTCACCCGGGAGGACTAAATCTTTAAGAGTATAAAGTCTAATGCACCAAAACAGACCGAGAGTCCAAAAACTTTTAACAATAGTGTTGGTATTAAACAAACAATACAGAACATAGAACACGTTTCAGGGGCTTCAATTCTGGGCCCCTTTGACTGAGGTCCAGTGGCGTCACAAGGGAGGCCCGCACCCGGGTGTCACCATTGCAGGGGTGACACCAAAATGACTGACTGACTAATTTTGGTGTCACCCCCTCTAAAAAGTCGGGCACTCGGTCATGGACCGAGAGCCCAACAGTGTCAGGAGAGAGGAGGGGTCCCAGCAGCATACCTCATCCCGCCGGATGAACATCCCCTCCTCTCTCTGCCGGCGTCCATCACCAAGATGGCTGTCTCTTCTCTCGCTCTCCTCTGATTGTCTCTCCTCTCTCTATCCTGACTGTCTCTTCTCTCCCAGCTGTGTCTTCCTCTCTCTCTCCTGGCTGTCTCTTGTCCCTCTCTCTCTTTCTCTCTCCCCTCTGCTGTTGCTCCTCTCTATCTTGGCTGTCTTTCCTTACCTGCACTGCAGCAGCTTCCCGGTTCTTCTCTAATGTGCAGTGTCTCCTGCGGTGCTACTCTGACTGAATGTGTCTGACGCTGCAGACTGGGAAAAGTGTTCCGCCCCTTCCTGTCTGCAGCGCCTGACACATTCAGCCACACTAGCCCAGTGGGAGGGAGCTCAGGACAGTGAGCCGATTGCGATCTACCAGCGTTCGCTTTGCACTCGACTGGTAGCTCGCGATCGACCTAATGGACACCCCTGTCATAATACGTTGTGCCAAGTTCAAAACCTCACACGCGTCTTGAGAAAAGTCCACAAGTGATGTAGAGACCTCAGCACAAGACCCTTAACTCCAGCGCATTATTGGCCTCCAAAGATATGTCTGAAGAAAGAAAATGTTGGCAATGCACATAGATAGATTTGAGCTACAGGGTGACTTATTCTTCTCTTTATTTTGGTCCTTCTAGGAAAGAGTGGGGCTTAGAACCTTTCCTTCCACAATCCCTTCTGCAGAGCTACAAGGAGAAAACCTTACGTAAAGCGTTAGCGCAACACCTCAAGATCCACCAAAACCAGTTGTCCGGCAACAAGGTAAGAGAGACCCTTCTCTGCCAACCTAAATCTGATGTAGATGTATTTTGACATGGAGACGTCTAAGTCTACCATTGTATTGCTGTAGGCGGCCATCATCCAGGCAAAACTACGATACCTGCGTATCCTTAACGAGCTGCCGACTTTCGCCGGTGTCCTCTTCAACATGGTTGCCATGGTAATGTAGATTCTCGCAGTCTAACCTATGCCACAATGTAGGAGGAAGATCAGATTCCATATCTCATAGTTTTGTTTGAGGTCTGTCATGATTTAGCTCTTTCTGTTCATGTTTAGGAAGGTAACTAAGGAAGGTAACTAAAGAAGCTTCGGTGTCGGCATTTACAGTAAAGTCCATGTCTAGTGCGACCCCCGCACTGCAAGGATTAAGTGCTTGTTTATGCCTATGGGGTTGGAGTCATGTACTTTTACTTGGCCGATCCCCGCTCCCACTGGCTCCCTCCGGGCTCTGCGGCCTCTTCTTCCCTGGGCTCCAGCAGTCCAAGGAACGCTAACCTCATAACGTCTAATGCAGGTTCCATATATACAGGAAGACACTGAGGGACATTGCACTAGCCGGCCAGAAGGGGGGAGAGGGAAGCGGGGGATCAGATAATTGGGGCGAAGGGTAGAGGGAAGCAGGAAGCAGATAAGTAGAAGTGCTTTACTCGGGTCCACTAGGACCCTAAAAAAGATGTGGTTCTCCCAAAATATATACCAGACCTTTATACTTGATAGGGGTCTGGTATGGATTTTATGGAAGCCTCTCCTTGTAAAAAAAAGAAATAACGGCGAGTTTCTCCCCTCTTCCCATTTTCATCAGAGTCTTCAGCCCCCCCTTTTCCATCACAGTCTTCAGTTCTCCCTTCCCAATCAGAGTCTTTTGTCTCCTCGTTCTCATCAAAGTCCACAGTCCCTCCCTTTCCCATCAGGGTCCTCAGCCCTACCTTCACATAAGAGTCTTCAGTCCCTGCTTTCCCATCAGAGTCCTCAGTCCCCCCTTTCCCATCAGAGTCCTCAGTCCCCCCTTTCCCATCAGGGTCCTCAGCCCTACCTTCACATAAGAGTCTTCAGTCCCTGCTTTCCCATCAGAGTCCTCAGTCCCCCCTTTCCCATCAGAGTCCTCAGTCCCCCCTTTCCCATCAGGGTCCTCAGCCCTACCTTCACATAAGAGTCTTCAGTCCCTGCCATCACAGTCCTCTGTCCTTATTTTCCCATCACAGTCCTCAGTCCCCCCCCCCTTTCCCATCACAGTCCACAGTCCCCCCCTTTCACATCAGAGTCCTCAATTCCCGCTTTCCCTTCAGAGTCCTCAGTCCCTCCTTCACATCATAGTCCTACCCTATAATCTTCCTCACAGTGCAGCTGGGGCAGCATGACAGAGGGTGGGACATGGAGCAGGTCTGGGCGGAGGTGGACTTCTGTCCTCTTCTTCATGCTGGAGGAGGTCCTAGATACAGCCTGCCCTGGATCACAAGTTTCCATGGTTTTGGTGGCTGAATCGCCTGCACAATGGAAATGCATGACACTGTAGGCACCCCTAAAAAGACCACAAGGTACCTCTGACAAAGGCAAACGACACCCTGGTGGGAAAGGTTGCCCGAGACCACCCCCAGTGGCCAAATGGACACTGCCAATAGATAAGATACACTTGATGGAAGACAATACTTCCTAAAAAAATTGCAGATCATGAATTATGGTTACAATACCTGGGCAAGCTGACTACATTTTAAAAACTTGGATCTACCCCATAGATCAGGGGTAGGAAAACTCTGGTCCTCCATCTGTGGTGCAACTACAAATCCCATACAAATACGAGTCAGCCCACCCTACAAAGGCCACAACATGGAGCGTAATCCAGATCCCCAAGCAGAGATAACCTTCCCCCCTTGTATCCCCTTTGTCTTCATGCTACATGTGTTCGAATATATTGCTTTCCCATGCAATATACTGTATGTAACACACTGCGACTTTTATATCATGCTTTATGAAGTCACATTGACTTTGATAGAAGTTCTGCTCCTTTTCTATGGATACATTTTAAATAAAACTTTATTAATAAAAAAAAAAGACAAACTTATCATTCCAATGTTTTTTCCCTTGCTCAGGATGAAAAAGCGCCAGCGACCACACTTCTGGTCGGTCCCCGCCATGGAATCAGCCACGTTATAGACCTGAAGACTAATCTCACGACAGTCCTCTTCGAATTCAGTCAGGTGACGAAGATCCAGTTGTTCAGAGAGTCCCAGGGAGTAGCACGTGTTGAGACGAGTGTCGCCGATACTAAGGTACGGTCAACGGGCTACAAAGTTTCTCCTTTGTGTTCCTCTGGGGTCAGACTATGGACACTCAAACTTTTTCATGCAAATCCTCAATAACCTCAGTAGCTACAGGCACTGAGGGGCAACTGAAGTGGATGTAAATCCAAAATCTATTCTTTGGTATGTTTGGCATCCTGACTCACTGTATCAGGGGCGTCCTGAGGCCTAGTGTTACCCGGAGCGGAGACCGGGTGACACTCCGTCGTGACGTCATTGTGCATGCGCGTGACGTCATCACGTGTGTGTTCGATTACGTCATCGCGCATGCGCGGCCATCTAATTGACGCCTTTCCGGCGGCCATCTTAATCATGGACGCCGGCAGAGAGAGGAGGGGACATTCATACCTCATCCCGCCGGGTCTCTCCTGACACTGTCGGGCTCTCGGTCCTTGACCGAGTGCCCGACTTTTTAGAGGGGGTTGACACCAAAATGACTGTGAGTCAATGATGTCACCCAGGCGCGGGCCGCACCCCCCGCACCACCCTTGTGACGCCACTGCGTTGTATACAGTTTTCCTAAGCAAGTTCACCCACCACTGACCTTCTCCACCTGCCTGGTGCTAGGTCCTACCCTGAAGCCCCTCTGGCCCGACTCCACCCCACCAATCTTGTAGGTACCACCCCAAACCATATCTTCTTCTCTGTTTTAACACTATAAGTCTTTCCTCACTTTTAAACCCAGTCATGTAGTCCCTAAGCCCATTGCTTTGCCTGTTTTGCTCCAGGCCTAGCTGTCTTGCCAGTAACATCACATCCTTTTGCAGGCTGACAATGCTGAGCCACTACCTCCCAATATGCAGCAGTGATGCCTCCTTCAGTTGCCCATTGGGCTGCCTATTGGCCAACTGAAGGAGCATGCAGCGAAGGCTGACAAAACTTTTGAGGCAGTGGCTTGGGAGGTCTATTTATACATGATTCACAAGGCCCTTCACCCTGAGGACATCTCTGAACATTCGTTTTGGGTGAATAATGGCAAAAACAAATGCCCGTAATATATTTACTTCCAGTTCAAACAAATTGCCATGTAATACCACATTATGGCCACTAGATGGAGCATAGGAAATAAATACTTATTTCCTATGTTCCACAGCTCCATCTAGTGGCCAAAAGGTGGTATTACATGACAATACATTTGGAACTGGGGAAAAAATATATTAAGAACGTTCGTTTTTGGCATTATTCACCGATATCATTTACAGATATTCACAGGGTGAAGGGCTCTGCAGATCGCTTATAAATACATCCCTTATTGTTGTCAATAGGAAGTGGAGAATCTCCAGGCATGATGCTTTGCAATAGCGTCACAAAAAATAGATTTTGCTTAGGAAAACAACTGTATTATGCCCGACTTCCTGGACTGAGATGGCGGCTTAAGGATAACACAGTCATGTAAATCCCAGGGCCTGCGCAGTTCTTGGTTGTGTTCACAAATGCCTGACGTAGATTGCCCCCCTGCGCCAGCCTTTCACCTTGTGGCTTCCTACAAAGTTACAATGTTGCAGTCCGATCACTGGGTGAGGGGAGACTGTGGAAATGCTTCCTGCCTGCAGCAGACTGACCACTGGGGGAGGGAAAACTGAGGAAATGCCTCCTCCTGCCTGCAACAGTCTGATCACTGGGGGGTGGGGGGGTGGAGGAACTGAGATAATCCTTCTTACTGCCTGCAGTAGACTGATCACTGGGGGAAGGGAGACTGAGGAAATGCCTCCTCCTGCCTGCAGCAGTCTGATCACTGGGGGGGGGGGAGCCCGGGCAACTCTCTT